TCCTCCCCTGGCCCGCCCGTCGGTGACACAGGGCGGGCCTTTTTCAATCCGCCCCCTCCCTCCCTCCAGCCGCACCCCCTCCACTCTTCCTCACTCTTCCCCTCGCCGCCGCCGCCGCCGCTGCCATTGTAGCCGTGCAGTTCGGATGCGAGCTCGCCCAGCCCCTTCCCCTCGGCGCCGCCGAGCTACCCAACCACGGCCACCTGGTTTGCACACCCGCCGGCCGGATTTGGGCCGGATCCGGTCGGTCTTGAGCTCGGCCGGCTGTGGGAGGTCGGGCCGCGCCATGGACAGGCCGGGCACCTCGCCGGAAGGCCCTGGCAGGGCCGCAAGGCCACATGCAGGCAGTGGCTCCTCCTCTAGCCGCTCGGATCTGCACCGTCGGTGGTCCGTCGGCAGATACACGAATGGCGGTCGGCCGGGCTCGGTGCTTGCCCAAAAGCTCGTCGGCGCACCGTTGCCACTCATTAAGTGCGACCACTGCCCAAGGATGGTCGTGCGCCGCGTGTCTACAATGCCGGAACATCCCAGATGGGTGTTCATCAAGTGCTTAAACGACGGGGTATGCGCTTTTTTTAGCTTCGGTCTGTGCTCTAGACTTGACTAGTTGTGCTAACTTCAAATTTTGTTGTGTAGAATGGATGCAAGTTTTGGTATTGGGAACAAGAGTACATCGATATATTGATAGAGCGAAATTTAGTACATGTTTGTGTAAATGAGACAAGCGCACTTGTTGCTAGATTAGAGGCTAGACACGAGACTAGGTCTGAGGAAGCAACATCTACTTCTGGCTTGAAGAAAAAAAGAGGATGGCAGATCGAGCCTCCTCCACAGATCAACAATGAGTGCATCGAGAAGGCCCTAAGCCAACTCAAGGGGGCAGTTATGGAAGTTGGCTATCTTCTAAAACGTATTCTTGTTGTCTTTATTTTTTTTGGCCTTGCTTTACTAGTCAAAATGTGATGATGTATTGTCATGTAGCAAAAATGAATGATAAAAAAAATTAAAGACTTGCAAAGAAAAATGCACGCGGACAGAATGCGACCGGGATGCGTCCGCGCGCTGGGCGCACGGCCACCGCATTCCAGAACACTCCCGAACACGACCCCAAATCTCTACCCAAACGGACAGAATCCGGATAAAACGGACGTCCGTTTGGGGTCGGTGGGGTTGGCCTAAAGTCGCGCTAGTACTACTCTAGAACCACATGCACATGACTAGTTCTTTCAGATGTTTAAAAACGTCTGTAATTACCATCATTCCATAATTTAAATTAAGGAGATGCGATCGTGCTGTCGGGGTAGCAGTAAGCAGGTCGACGAGGGAAGGCGAGAGACTGCTGTACGCAGAGCAGCAGGCTGGGTGTTTCGACCGATGAGATCAGCTGGCACCCGCCGGTTAATTCCGTCGGCAGGGCCGAGGCGAGAGACTGCTGTGCGCAGAGCAGCAGGCTGGGTGTTTCGACCGATGAGATCAGCTGGCACCCGCCGGTTAATTCCGTCGGCAGGGCCGAGGCGAGGCACGGCTCGCCGCTCGCACCCGCCCGCGCCTGCTCCACTGGCGTCGGCGGCAGGGTTTAGTTATTGCGGTCGCCATCAGGACGCGGCGGGGTTAAAAACGCCAAGGACAAAAGAAGCAGCGACGCGCCCGGTCCCCTCTGCGGCCTGCCCGCGCGGGGCTCGATGCCACAAGGCAAGCTGGACCTTTAAATACACGCGCGCGCACTCGCTTTTAGGAACAGACAAACATCGCCGGAAAGCCTGAAATAACTGCAGGAAAATGTAAGTACGCATGCAAAATCGAGGACTTGAATCTGGTTTGGTTGGTTCCATCAGAAGGAATATAACCATCTAGGCTATGTTTATTTCGCCAAAACAAATATTTTCTTCTATAGATACAAAGAAAAAGAAAACAATGTTCCAGATAATGCATGTTGTACTACTGTGATCTGTCATGTTCTTTTTCGCTTCATTGGCAGCTTCAAGGTAATGCATACTTGAAGCCGATAAAGAAGTAAAAACTTAAGGGCTTCTTTGGACAACATGGCCAACTCGAATTTATAGGGTTTTTTTTTTTGCGTGTGAAATCAACACTTGTATTATAGTATTACTCAACACATTAACAATTACAATGTATGCGGCATAAGTTGTCAACATTGTCGGACCCGGAGACAAGCCAAGTTGTAGTACAAACCTAGGTTCTACCAAAGTTTGCCATATAATGAAAAAGTCTCATTCAAGCGGACATGAAGTTTCTGCACCTAAGCTCATATGCACCTTCATCAACAGTAAAAATGAAAAATGACAAAACAAATCTGATTTTTTTGACGAATTCTTAAATTGCGTGCAAAATTTCATGAAGGAAAAACATTCCAAAAATGTTGCCGTGGAAAAGAAAAATTGATGCTCCGAGAAATTTTTTGCACGCGTGCTAAGAAATCATGAAAGTTTGTCTCCAAGAAATTTCAGGTTTTTTTTTGCTATTTTTTTGATTTTACTGTTCACAGGGGTGCATATGAGCTCGGGTGCAGAAGGGTTCTTTCGCATTCAAGCGGCTTTCTGGATTAGTTCCTAACAACATTGCACACTTGTACTTCAGTTCATAATTACAAGCAAAACACCGACATTCTCAATAGCCTGCTAGACCCGACCCGGGTCTCTTCAACGAATGAAGTACATCTAATACACAAAGTGGCACCAACCTATCTTCTTGTAGCAATGGAGTAATCATTGAAGACCCGGTGTGATTCGATCCTCTTCGACAAATGGAGCCCTCTCTTGATGCATTGAGTATTTACGCCCTTGAAATTGTACAACACATATAGTCAATGTTTTCATATTTCCAAAGCAGGGTCCTTATGAATGATATGTAATAAACGGCAAAAAAAAGAGGTAAGAAACGATAAAGGAGGGAGTCCACATTTCCCTATAATAACAAATAATGTTTGTTTCTGTTTAGATGATTGCTAGAATATATTTTTAGTACCATGCCAACGCCCAGGAGTTCAAATTGTTGCATCTAAAATAACATGTATGGATCTACAAAAACCGACATCCACAAAATTCCTCCATAATCCATCAGAAAGTGTGTATGGAGGACGGGCTCCATGGGGCCCATTTCTCAAATATAATACGTAAGCATCTAACATATACGTATAGTACATTTAGACTCACCCACCCGCAACAAAAAATACATGTAGACCAAGCATGTGTGAGTTTCTATGCTAATATACTTTCAGGCCTAGCGTACAAAAGACAAATATTTGCATATAAAAGGGGCCCTTTTTGCTTTTGCTGGGCTGAGATTTTTGTTGTGCACTTACAAATCACTAGTATACTTCAATGAATTTTTACAGATCCAAAGGGAACACATTCAAGTTTTCCTTATTTTATTCTATTTTTCGAAACTTTTTTAGTACTCCATATATAACCCATGCAATGATCGGATAAACCTTGGCCTCAAACTGAACAAACCTCCGTTTCTACGACGGGATTAATTAATGCGTGAAGAGGGGTGCGGCGGCAGCGTGCAGTGAGAAGAGTCTGTTCTTGTCCGGCCAATCATCAATCACGCCGCTGTTAAGAACAGCTCCTCCTACTGGTCACGCAGTGGTGGCCAGCAAACCCAGCCCGCCAATGACGCGCTGAAGAGAGACCAGCGGCGCCGTAGCCGCGCCACGTCCCAACAAAATTTGCTGTGGAAGAGGAGAATGGGAGCGTTGGCAAGTTGGAATTGGAAACGGGGAGGGTCTGGTTCGTCACGGCCATGCACTGCACGCGCCGGATCTTGTGAGCATGCGCCGGCGTACCTGCCAGCCAACCGACGTCGTTAGCCTTAGCCACCGGAGAAGATGCTGCTAGTGTACCTGATCCGTGCTCCGGCAATTAACGCGGCTGCCTGGCCGCAGCAGGCGCGGCAGAGGCAGAGGCGCAGCAGGAGAAGCGAAGAAGCTGGTCAGTGCGTGGGAAGCGGGGAGAAAAGAAGACAGTGCCGGCCAAAGATGGATAGATAGCGAGTGATGATCGTCGATCCAGATTCCAGAAGCGAAGATCTCCGTCCCTCCCTCCACAGGAATTTTCAGAGCCCCCACACCCCAGCACTTAAAAAAATGAATCCCTCTGCCCCGCTCCATCACCCGCAAAAGCCAACCTTGGCTTCCATAGCACATTTTACAAAAGCGTGGTAGTAGTAGTACCGCTGTCGAAAATCACCGAGGAAAAGAAAATGAAAGTGGCGTGGCACGAAAAGGCAGCGAGGGAGGGGGGCTAGATTGATGGGCCCTGTCAGGCAGGTACTATATAGGCAGCTAGAGTTAAAGGAGCTAGAGTGGTAGAGAGCTCGGTGCTTGGTGGAGGAGTTGGAGATAGCGAGAGGGAGAGGGAGGGGGTGGCCGGCCGGCGCGCGCTAGTAGTAATTGGGGCGATAGAGACGCCGCAGCCTAGTGCCCTCGCTATCCATCCGTCCGTCCGTCCGTCTCCTACTGTTTTCCAAGGCGGGGAAGAGGAGAAGAAGCTCCCACCACAGCCCCCGCTCACCTGCTGCGTCAGAGAGAGAGAGAGAGAGAGAGAGAGAGTCGTAGCATCAGCGCTAGTGGAGGATTTTTATTCTCCTTCCTTCCGTTCCCCCGGATCGGCGGCGTAGGATCCGCAGCCACTACCCCTCCTACTAGCTTCTAGCGGAACGCATAGGCGGCGGCGATTCCAGCCGGTGACAATTTTTAATCCCGATCTCGCCGCGCGCGGGCGCGGAATTCGCTGGGCATAAGTGTGGCTTCGGGCCGGCGCTTCCCGTCCGACACCGGCGCCTTCGCGGACTGGGTCGCGTCCTCCGCCGCGGCCGCCGCCGCCGCGGGGGGCAGCAGGGGGGACGACCTCTCGCTCGGCTTCAATGCCGGCGCCGCGGCCGCGGCCGCCTCCGGCGCCGCGCTGGGGGCGGGGTTGTGGGGCCCGGCGTCGGCCTCCTCGTCCCCCGCCTCGCGCCAGGCGGCCCTGAACTACGGCATGGCGGCCGGCGACGTGGGGATGGTGGTGGTCGCCCCCGCCGCGTCGTTCCACCACACGCACCACCATCACCACCACCACGACGCGGCCGCCGCGGCGGCTGCCTCCGACGCCATCTTCCCGCTGCTCTCCGCGGGCCCCTGCGTGCTCGACCCCGAGGCGGCCAAGGCGGCCGCCGCCAGCGGCGGCATCCAGTTCTGGCAGTCCGCGCAGCACCATCAGCAGCAGCACTCGCCGTCGGCGGCGGGCGGCGGTGGCGGCAACCCTAACCCTAGCCCGGGCCCCTTCTACTTTAAGAAGCCCGTCCAGATGCTCGACGCCGGCGGCGACGGGTCCTCCGGGTCGGGCACCACCACCTGCCAGGACTGCGGCAACCAGGCCAAGAAGGACTGCACCCACAGCCGGTGCCGCACCTGCTGCAAGAGCCGCGGCTTCGACTGCTCCACGCACGTCAAGAGCACCTGGGTCCCCGCCGCCCGCCGCCGCGAGCGCCAGCACCTCGGCGGCTCCGGCTCGTCCCCCGCCAACGCCTCCACCGCCGCCGGATCGAAGAAGCCTCGCCTCCTCTCCTCCCAGCAGGCCACCACCTCGCACACCTCCACCTCCAACGCCACCACGCCGCGCAGCTACGACACCACCTCCAGCCATCAAGGTTTGTATTGTAACCACGCCGCCCACCACGGCAACGTATCCTCTTCACGCGTGCGTAATTCGAGACAGTTTGCTCAGCATCTGCTATGTGTGTGTGCTGCAGACGCGTCGTTCAGGGGGTACCTGCCGCGGCAGGTGCGCGCGCCGGCGGTGTTCAGGTGCGTGCGCGTGACGTCCGTCGACGACGGCGAGGACGAGTACGCGTACCAGGCCACGGTGACCATCAACGGCCACGTCTTCAAGGGCTTCCTCTACGACCAGGGCGTCGACGACGGCCGCGCCAGCAATGACATGGACTCGAGCACCGGCGGCGCCGTGCCCAACATGTCCGAGCTCCACCTCGGGGGCGGCGGCGGCAATGCCGCGAGGGGAGGTGGGGGGTCCTCCTCGATGGCGCCCTCCGACATGTACGGCGGCGGTGGCGCCGGAGGAGCAGGCGGAGGGGGAGGAGGCCAGCAGCACATACTTGGCGGCGGGTCCAGCTATGGTAACACCATGAACTGAGCCGAGCTGCTAGAAGAGTAAGGTCACATAGTAGATCATTACTACAGTACCATTCTTTCCTTTCTTCTCTTCATTGCTAGTAAGTACAAACCTGTCAACCCTCTCATGGCCGGGGTGGAATGCAATGCATGGTGTTCGCCATTAATTTGTTCATGCTGTATGACATCAAGTGTTAATCGTTCCTAGTCTAGTCCAGCCCAGTCCTCCTAGTAGCACCAGTTGCTTAATTTTCTAGCAGTACTAATGTACTCTTAGAGAAGAATAATTGTCAATTAGGAATGTTAAACAAGATAATGAAGATCAAATCAACAGTAGTACTTTGCACAATGAATTGATCAGGTTATTGCCTGCTGGTTTTGTCCAATTGGTTTCTTCTTGTCTCATGCCTTGCTTATGTTCCCAATGCCTGCCTTTCCATATATGGGGATGTGTTCAGGGGTGCAAACCATGTAGGCCGTGGGTGCCATTTCGAGCAGGCTGGGATCCAGAGGCGTGCACTGTTCAGGCTTCTCTCCTGCTGATAGATAGATAGATTATCATGATAGGTTGAGCAGAAAAGTTTGACTCTTGCAACGCTCACTTGCTTGGCTTTCACTCCTTTGCGTGGCCGATTTGGCATCCAATGCTTGCCATGCCTATCTTGTTTATCTCACTCACTCATCGGAGCACACTTTTCCCTGTTTGTTTTCCCCATCTTTTTCTACGGGTAGGTAGGATTGAAAGAACGGGAGGCATTCTTGGCATTGGCTTTGTGCTTTGTAGATGTAGCATCTTCTAATTGCATTGGGACTTGTGTCCTAGAGAGAGGCCAATGTGTAATGCATGTGATGAGGGAATTCTTGTTCTTATTATACACCATCTTATCTCACACTCATACTACTACTCCCTCCGTAAACTAATATAAGAGCATTTAGATCACTAAAGTAGTAATCTAAATGTTCTTATATTAGTTTACAGAGGGAGTACATGTTAAACTATGTTAGCATCTTCAGCTTTTGGTAATTGGCATGCATGTTGGGAAGCATGTTGTAGTAGAGGCTAGAGGAGATGCATGAGGAGGAGAGGAGGCAGGATCATGGTTGCTTCCTGTGCTGTGCTCCATCCTCCTATCCTACCAGCCATGGTTTTTTGTGCTAGCCCCCATATTGATTCCCCGTGCCGGATTGACAAGATGTGAAAGGAAAGGAAAGAAGGCCTGTGAAAAGCAGACCCATGCATGCCTGATTTGACACGGTTCACTGCCTGGGATTGCAGCCTTCTTTCTCCTTTGCTTGTTGGGTGAAAATCTTGGTCGGCTACACTATAGCCTGCTTGCTTAAGCTGCTGTTGCAAGTTACCCAGGGGCATCATGCAGATGGGTATTGGGTCGTATCGTCATGGCTCATGAGCCATGATGAATGAACATTTAAAAAAGATTGGGATTGGTGTTAGTCGCTGGGCTATCTTTTCATCACCAAAGCTGCTATTATCTCATGTGCCCGATCATGGCGTCCGTCCATGTCGCCATGTCAACTGTTGCCATCCTTTGGGGAGCACGGTTACTGTTCAGCTATCCTCTTTATTTCATCAGCTTGTAGATGGTAGACTTTTGGGGCTTCATAGGCCTTGACTCTCCTTGAATCGTGCTGCTCCTTGACTAATTGAACACCTGCTGCTGCTACTGTTGAACAAGGTTTCCTTCTTTTCTTCGTGATGTTGCCATTTCCATTTAACTACTCATTCTAGATGAGGTGATGCTAGTTAGTCTCCAGTTTGTTCGTTTCACTTAACTCCAGAATTTTTGTCATGGCACACCTGGGCATATAATTGTGCTGCGATCAGAGACGTGTGGCACCTTGCAAATTGGCTCAACACTGACAGACTGTTCAGGCATATAATTGGCACAATAAATTTTATATTTATTTATCTGTGAAAGCACATTCATCACATGTTTTTTTTATCATTGCTGCTAACTTCTGTCACGTCCCTTTTCTTTGGACAATAATTTCAACGGACCTAGTAATGTGGCCATGTGCTGCTTGTCTTCTTGTGACGATGGTGATCCAATTGAATAGCCCAACTGTCATGTGGTGACATTTGTTAATCCCCAGTCATTGTGCCTGAAAACCTATTATTTGTCCTGTTAAATTTTAGGGCATCAACTCGGTATTGTGATTATGAGTTGCTAAGAAACGAATGATTGTTCAATGATTACTGATAGATGAAAAGGATTTATCAGTTGAAGCAACTTTTGTACTCACTGATTAAAATATTCGGATTGCTAATTTCCGTATTTTCGCTATGTAAGCCATGCACTAGGGAAGCCTGGGTGTGATTAGGATTTCGATTGCCTATAGCTTTTATGCTATGTTTGTTTATAACTTGGGTGCGACCTATTATATTGTAAATCTGCTAATTTGTTGTTAAATTTCTGTTCAACTCAAGTAGGGTTTTGTTCGTAAGTGGTATTTCTTTTGTGTGTGTATGAACATTCACACTGTCATTTTTTCTATTCATAATCATGGTGTTTGACAGTACATATCTACTGTTCTTTGTTCCCTTTTGAAGTTCATTGATTCAATTTTGCATGAGATATCTGATGTGGAATGCAGATATACTGGTATCACTTCTGTGTTAGTATACTAAGCTATGGTTTGTTTTCTTCAAGTTATTAACCACATCTCTTATAAATTTCCCTTGAGCTGGTACATGTTTGTATGACACGAGTGATCGATGTTTGTTCAATGTAAAATTGTATCTTGACGAATAATTATGTATGCTAACTTGGTATTGGTAGTTCCTGATCGTAGGTAACAGACCTAGTACTTGTATATTGTAGACAGCTGACTATTCTATCTTCTGATGTTTTTTGTGATATGTGTGCTATGTCTTGTGGATATCATATTCATGTTTGGTATTACTGCTGTCCAGTCACTGGAATGAATTTTTTTTCTTACTTTGCCTAGCCTTTCTGACAATTAATATATAGTGTGATCATTGAGCTTCTGAGCTATTTTGTAAAATTTTGTTGTAATGTTTGCTGGATCATTGAGTAGTTAATATTGCTCCCAAAGTTTCTACTTTATGGTATCATTAATGTCGGTTAGAACTTGTGAGGCATGGGGTGCATTTTGTTGGGTGATTGCTTTGCATCATAGTTTTCATTATTGAAGAACATGCATATTTTGGATGGCACCAGAAGCTTTTTCATCTGTCAGGCAAGGTACAGACATGTGGATCTGGGCATGTCACATTTGCTCTTTATTTTGTTGCTAGGGACACTGATGGTTGGGTTTGCGTCCAACACAGGTATATTTACGTTTTATACATTTTGCGACGCTGATGTCTGTAGTCCCAAACATTTTGTGATGCTGATATCTGTAGTCCCAAACATTCTGCGACGCTGATGTCTGTAGTCCCAAACCGTTTATATAGCCAAATTTTGCTACTTCTGGGAACTTATTGGCACCTTATATTTGCATGGATCTTTCTATATAAGATCATGGGCATGTCATTTTTATGGCATATATTCCTCTCTAGTTGGTAGTATCTTTGCCATTTCCACATTCTTCAATGCTGTATGCTTTCCTGACACACGTACGTGTTTGGGCTCAAAATGAGCCCCTTGTCTGGATTGGAATATGCCGGCGTTGCTTTCGAACGCGCCGAACGCACTGCTTGGTAAATAGCACTCCTACTTGAGATGCACTAGATGTACATTTTAATCCGAACATTCTGATGCTTGGAGTACCCAGTTGGGTTGATTATGCTGATGCATAAAGTAAAGCGCAATCACTCCCTGAATTCATGCGATTCTGGGTACAGGTAGTGTGTTTGTGACATGATCTAGCAATGATTCCGGAGGCCACTCGCGCGGTGCCGTAACTGTTGTGTTGGTTAAAGCTCCACCATATGCCTCCTGAAATGATGGGCAGTCCGGTCAGGCCGAGTGCCTGGTTTTTTAAGGAACCAGCCGAATAATCCTGGTACAAATCCACGCTCTGTCTTCTCTTCTTTTGCCCCCCTTGTGCTGCTCTTGTTGTTCGTGCCGTGGCTTTGCTGCTTGCTGCGAATAGCCCGGCCCTGTCTGGTGCGAACGGCAGAGACAAAAAGCTGCCCTGATGATCATTACAATGAGATAGAATTTTCCCTTGCTTAAATGAGGGGTGTCGTGTTAGGCCATGCCTATTGTCTCCTTTGCCAGCGAACGGATGACCATCATCAATCTTTTTTTTTAGAAAAGGAGGATGACCCCCCGGCCTCTGCATCTGGGCCATGCATATGACCACTTTATTAATTATTCTCACAAGACCTTACAAAGTAATACAACAGTAAGACTAAAGCCGCCGTCTAAGCACCTCTACTCAGCTGATGAAGGGGCGCAGATAGCCTGGGCTAATACCAAACAGACATCGCAGCCAAATCTAACATCTAAGACCTGAGAACCCATCCAGGACGCCTGCCGGGCATGGGTCTCACCGGTCCGGCGTGCACTCAGATGCCGCCGCCGCCAACTGCCACCGCTCCATCTTCAGAACTGTACTGCTGCATCAACCTTGCTCAGTCTAGCTATCGTCGACGCCATCACAGCGCCAAACGGCACCTTCTCCCTGCGCGCAAACAGCTGAGCACGTCGCGGTCACCACTGATACACCTCAGCGCCATGCTACCAGGTATCACCAACCGACACAGCTTGAAGTCCTTGGAAGATCTGTCGTGCGTAGCACCTGCCGACCAGGCATGACAAAGCGTAGCACCTGTCGGTCAGGCATGACTTGACATCACCACTGAAGCTCCGTGCAAGACGAAGCCGCTCCACCTCCTGCCTCTGACATCCAGCGCTGCTCCGCAAACGATGCTCCCAAGAGATAAACGACACCGCAATGCTGCCATCGTCCGATCTGGAACAACAGATCCTAGGGTTTCCCCCGGAGCAGCACGAGTGGGTCGACAATAGTTACACGATGATGCCTTCATCAAGGTAACGACGAGAATGCCGCCATCGCCTGCCGTCGGCTCGG